TATCTGGGACAAGAAAGTACACACCATAATACCTACAAGTACAAATCAAGTAACAAAAACAAGTATTTAATCAATATAATTTAATAAATACCTATTTAAAAATTATAACAAGGAAAACCCATATCAAACAATAGTATTTAGTAATCGTTAAGAAAACACACTTATGAAGGCGTAAGGATAAGAAGTTTTTACTGGGGGTCACTGGCGGATACAACAATTTTTTTTTTTTTGAAACATTTTCTTGTCAACTATTATTGGGGCAGTCGGTTTTGCAACTTTGTAAATTACAGTCTTGCAGACGAAAATATTTGAACTGACTCTACCGATGTGACGGAATGGCTAAGACATGTTTAGTTTAAAGTGTTAGCCAAGGTATAGCTCATGTATTTTCGAAGGCATTTTAAATGACGATATAGCACAAGTATTCGAAACAAAATGTATTTTTATTTACTAGTATGATTAATCAGTGATGCTTTTTTATTTTTCTGAAAGAGTTTCCCAAGAAGATCAATTCTATATAAAGAAGACAGCAATATTCTAAAAGGAAACCGATAATCGAGTATCGTTTTGATATTCGATACTCGATACTAAAGAGCGATACTCGAATACTTGAGTAGTCGTTGACAGTATCATATTTCATATCTTATACAACGAAAGATATCTAATTATTCATTAATAACATTCTTATATATGTCATGTTTCTATCGTTGTAGATGAAGCCTTGTTGGATTATCACTTTCCTGATTTCTTTCAAACTAGCTTTGCAGTATGCATCGAAATGTACATCAAACGATAAATGCAAATGTATTCACATGACCGATGGAATTTCAGCTGACTGTTCTAATCTAGGATTACTTAACTCGCCCTCTTTCATGAAAAATGTGATATCAGCCAATTTAAGTTTTAATTTTTTAACGAGTTTACCAGACGAAGGACTCCTACCCACGGGATTGAAATTTCTAGATCTGTCATCTAATAAAATTTAAAATTTCAGTCATGATGGGTTACCTCCGTTTACTACATCAACAGCCTTATTGAGTTTAAATTTGTCGAATGATTATATTTCCTTTGACAGTAAAACCTACTTTAAAGGAGTTTTTAAAAATTTGTTTGACTTGCAAATGTTAGATATTTCTAATAATTCTTATGAGAATATAAGCTATTATTGCCCGGACGAAGATTTTGTTGATCTTATTTCACTTGAAAGTTTGAGCATTGACGGTGTTAAAAATGTAACATTTGGGAGGAGATTTGCCCTTCTGCATAACTTGACTAGTTTAAAAGTAGCAGGTCTTGCTGCTCGGGGTACAATAAAACATGTTCCTACACTTTCCATTCATAAGATTTCTAGACCTTTCGTCTAGAACAGAATGGAAAAATATAGAACATTTCGCCGTCTTAGAAATAGAACAGAGAACAATTAAAAACCTTCCAGATTTAGAAGTTTTAGATATATCATATAATCGTCGACTTGGATTATGAGGATTTCGAAATGTGTCTTATGATCTGTCATTTACATCAATAAAGGCCCAGTATATTGCATGTGAACGAGGTGGAAGTTCATGGTTACTTACAAGTGATGTAAGCCCGTTAAATAAAACTCAGCTCTTGGAACTTTACATCGATGGCAATAACTTAGATAAAACTGAAACCTCGGCTGTATATCTCTTACCACGTTCTTTGCGTGTGTTAAGTATGACAGACAACCGATGGTAATCGATGACTATGCCTATTTTGATGATTTGCTAAACCTAGTTAACCTAACAACGGTAGATGCTAGTTTTCAAAACATGCATCAAATGTCGCATTCACACAATTCTTATCGCTGCAACCACGAATATCTATCATTGAACCCCATGAAATGTCTCTGCTACAGATTGCAAGATAATACGATTTTTGAATCTGAACAAGTAAACCCGCTTACTCTCAAACAGAAAGTTTCTGCAAAGTACAATAAGCTAATTACATCCTGTAACGATCATTCATCTGATAACACTATTGTATTAATACCACCAAATCTACATACAGTTATTCTAGAAAATGCAAGGCCCGGTTATTCTGTTGTTCCTATTTCATTTAGTAATACATCGTTACGGAAATTAGTTCTCCGAAATAATCAGTTATTTTCATTCAATGCACCGATATGCAACTTGAACAATCTGGAATATTTAGATCTTTCAGGTAATCGGGCTTCTGAAATAACACCATATGTATTTGGAGCACTACCAAAACTTAAAGTCTTATTGCTTGATAACAATGTTCTTGGCAACTCGTATATATTTCAGAAATACGATTCAATCTCTATTTTAGAAAACAAAACGGAATTAGTTTTCTTAAATATGTCATCAAATAGATTGTCTGTTTTGTTTCGCGATTTCTTCAAGAAAACTACCAGCCTCAAATATGTGTACTTAGATTGTAATTCATTTGTAGACTGGAACGTCTCAATCGAACACTTAAATAATATTGAACTGATTGACCTTAGCTTGAATGAAATCTTATACTTGTCTCAATCTGGAATGAGCTTATTGGAAAGGTCATTCTCTACCAATATAACAATTAATTTGTTGAACAATCCTTTTTAGTGTTCATGTGATTCTGTAGAATTTTACAAATGGATAACAACATACAGGTCACATTTCACATCTTTTGACAAATACAGATGCAGTTATAAAGGCAGACATTATCCTATAACGGACGTAAATAACATTTTAAAGAAAGATTGTTCATCCTACGTCGGACTAATAGTGCTATCCGTGGTTCTTATCGTATCCTTTATAGTTGTAATTTGTTCATTGTTGATTTACCGCTTCCGTTGGAAAATCCGATATTGGTATTATGTTATGAAAGGAGCGTACGGATATCATCGTCTTGAAACCGAGGATCATTTTCAGTTCGACGCTTTTGTGTCATACGCGGACAGCGATCGACACTTTCCTAAAGATGAGATGGTTGACTACTTATAAAAACAAAGAAATTTCCGGTTATGTATACATCACGGAGATTTTATTGCAGGATGTGGTATAGCAGAAAATATGACGAATGCTATCCACAACAGCAGAAAAGTTGTATGCGTACTCTTGGAGGATTTTCTTAAATCCGAATGGTGCATGTATGAATTTAATATTGCTTTGATGGAAAGGACAGTTGCAAGGCACGATCAGAACATGATAATTATGCTCAGATTAGGTCGATTGCATGGAAAGAAGATCCCCTCAGAAATAATGTACATATTAAAAGAGGATACTTATATAGAATATCCCGAGAACGAAGACGATAGAGGTATATTCTGAGATGAAGACGATAGAGGTATATTCTGGGATGAAGACGATAGAGGTATATTTTTGGATGATGACGATAGAGGTATATTCTGGGATGAAGACGATAGAGGTATATTCTGAGAACGAAAACGATAGAGGTATATTCTGGGATGAAGACGATAGAGGTATATTCTGGGATGAGGACGATAGAGGTATATTCTTGGAGGATTTTGCTGACGCCTTAAATTCATAAAAGATACAATATCAATGTCTTATAAATGAAGTTCATAGACATTAATAATAAAAGATATGTTACCTAGGAATATTTTAGGACCAATTGGCTGAAAAGGTTTCGAGATCATATATTTGAAAATATAGGACATCGTACGGTGTATATGTGTTTGAATAACGTTCACCTAAAGAAGCGAAATTTTGATGTTGAAAATAAAAAATAATCGGAGAAAAGGCTTCTTGATCATATATTTGTAAAAATAAGGCATTGTTCGGTGTATATGTGTTTGGTGCATAAAAGGAGCAAAAAACTAGCTTGTTTTTTTTTCATATTTATGGTCTCATCTGTCTTTTAGGAAATATAACAGTCAAGCGATGGGCGTACCAAATTATCAGACTAGAAGTTTTGATTAGTTTTTACAAACACAAAGTCGATGTCACTTCTGGTAGACGTTTCGTCCCCGTGGGTATCATTAGCCAGGTAGTCAGCACATTTGTGTTGCCATGAAATATAATTAATTCATTATTTTTATCTAAGTCCATAAGAATATTTTCTACTCATAGGCATGGATAGCCTATGCAGTATTTTCCAAAACTGTTTTCATTTCAATCATCTGATGAATCTTTTGTAGATGAAACGCATGTCTTGTGTACTAAATCATAAGTATCTTTGATCAATTTGTACAATGCTAAAAGAAGAACGTAAAACCAAATTTTGCATTACTACTAAAAATACTTTTTTATTATCAATTTTCTAGTTATGACATCACTAAAGTATGATAAAATGATGAAATTCAGAATTATCATAAATTTTTGGTGATGTAAGCGCCTTTTAAATATTATGAATTTATTGAACAATTATCAAGTTTTGCAACATAATATTCATTCATTCAATGTTACGTTTCCAATACATTTATAGCCTAAGCCGCAGTTGACAAGACTTTTATTGCTCTTCAAGCCCGTATTTGATTTACCTTAAAAACGTATTGATTCGCGCACGACTAATGTGTCTTTTATTGACGACACGCAGGTCTTGCGTACCAAATCATAGGACTAATATCTCTTTTAAAAATCCATTTTGTCGATGCCACTTATGTTGGACATTTCGTCCCCGAAGGTTTCACCGTTGCATCTATGTGTGCACTTCAATTATCGTGTATACCTTAGTTTACTTTATGTTTATATAAAATGTCCATCTATTCGAAATTACGATTTGTCTACCTTAGACATAGATAGCCTTAGCCGTATTTGCCACACATTATAAAGATATTCGATGTTCCATGCTTTTCAAATTCCTTGATTACTTGTTGTTCAAAACATTTTCAATAGCAGCATATATTTTACATTGATATTCATGTCAAAGGTTCCCCCCTCGGCCCCTCGTTATTTAAAATATATGAAAATTGTAGATCTATTGTGCATCTGATAATTTCAAATAGTTTTTATATCAAGGAATATAAAAGAAAATATTGTACTAGGACAACAGTCAAACATAATACTATTGAATGCCAAATTCTTCCTTATTCATAATCGCCCAAATGTATCCGTTCAAATACATCAATACATTAATAGAAGACTGCGTTTGTAAGTAATGATTAAATCAAAACAAGGTAAATATGTTTAATTTTGTATTTAGTGAGTGAAATAAAAGTTGCTCTCACATTTAATGGAATGCCATTCAAACCGAGAAATTGATTGATTAATGACCTTCTGATTACAGGCAAGGGGTAATGCAAATTTGTAATTGCATTCATTACATTTTCCCAAGTAATTGCATGTAATGTGTAATGCAGTAATTTTTGCATTACATGTACATGTAATTGTAATTTAATGCATTACTTTAGCAAAAAGTTGTGTAATTTCATGCATTACATTGCATTACATGGCATTACTTTTTTCACATACTATGTATTTTTAACAGATTGTTGGAGATTTAACAGAAGCAGAATTTAAGATTTCTTGTTTAACTAAGAACATAATCAATTGAATACTGATTTTCTATTTAATATTTATTTGTCACCATTTACATAAATTACTAGAGGGAATTTGAAGATTAAGCCTTTCCCCAGGTAGAACTTGAGAAAATGGTATAAAGACTAGAATGACCAAATTACAATTCTAAATGAATAACACAACACTGCATATCAGATTGAGTTGTTTTTTTTCAATTTATTTCATACATTTTCATACCTTTCCTGCATAAAAAAAAATTGATATTTGAAAAGCATTACTGTATTCCATTGTTGTCAAAAGATCAATGAATACCATGTCTTGATTAAATAACAGATAATTGAACATTGTTTTAAAACACTAATTAGTTCGTTTTACAATCAATCTTTTCACCATTTTGACACTTAGTCATAAATTAAGCTCTGTGTTTATTAAATAATTAGGAAAGAAATTCTCAGTAAATATTTTGATAGAAATTAAAAAAAAACAAATGTATATTTATAAAAGTAAAGTTGACATTTATTTAATAAATATCAATAATGATCAAATAATTGTTAAGAAAACAAAATGTCAAAGTGGCTTGGTACTTAAAGGTCTCCATGGTGCCAAGAAATATATCATTTGCATGATTAAAATTTAATAAATTTTTATTTATCAAGGCTAATGAACAATTTCCTAAACTGTAATATGAATAAATGTAATAAAAAAAAATATTTCAAGATATTTCTCTTAGATATTCAGAAAATTGTCAACAAAGTATTCCTGACTTTTTGTCCTATCAAATTTGTGACTTTTTGTCCTGTGACTTTCTGTCCGTTTACCTTAAATTCAATACATGGAACAGTTACTGGATATGCTAGAATCTTTTGTGACTGCATGTTGTTTTTCGAAATGTTTGATTTTTCTTTTCATTTGATAATAAATTTACAAATGTAATGTGTAATTCAATGCATTAATTTGCAAAAGTAATTGTAATATAATGCATTACTTTGATAAATGCATGTAATTGTAAATGTAATTTAATGCACGGTTTTGTCAAAGTAATTGTAATATAATGCATTACATTGCAATGTAATTCGCCCCATGCCTGTCTGATTATAACACAAGATGAGGACATATATCATGCAACAGGCGAAATAACAACCCTTATTTTCTATTAAATTAAGTAAGTTAAAAAAAAAACGGTTAAACCCACGATTATAAGTTTACGTGGATCGCAGATGAATTTCCGGCTCTGTAAATTACAAAACCGTTAAAACAGGATGTGATATCCATTTGTAATAAGGTTACTACAGGTATAGTCAAAATTCCAAATCAAATCTTTGTATTTATGATAAAGATAGGTAAACATTTTAAGTAATTTGTGGTAACGAAATCCTTGACCTAATAATTCACCAGTTTATTTACCGTTCAAACCTGGTGAGGTTCTTATTACTCAGTCGTTAGATTTCGATGTAGTAATTTGCATACTGTTGGGTTTTTGGTGGGTTTTTTTTCGTTTGTTTTTCATGGTGGTTTTAGTCAGCGAACGAGTTTAAAATAAATATACTGTAAGATTGGGCAAATAGAACATCACCGTCCATAAAACAACAGGGAACTATAATCGTGTCTTTTGTCGTATTGTTTTTTAAAAGATAATCTCGTGTGAAACTTTAATATCAAATCTAGAAAAGTACACTTTTAAGTGTTTTTGTAAAGTTTTTAATGTCAAACTCTTTGGGTAACAGCGGAAAATCTAGTGCCAATAATGACCTTTTCGGGATATAATGAAAAATGGGAACTCTGCAATGTTTCGTGACATTCAATGAGAGGCCGCTACTGATTATAAGTTCACTAGACACTTCGTAATTGTAAAATACATTGGAATTGTTTTTATTAGAAATAGAATTAATGTACAAAACGATTAAAACGGCAGATAATAAGATTTTTGTGGAAAATTGATGTGAAACGGTACCATGAAAATAAATTCCACACGTGCCAAACTCATGCTATTTTTCCACTGGCTATCTACGTCTTTTGAACGTGTCAACCCTTGGTATATGTATGCAGCCAGTTCAGTGAGGTTCAAAAAAATATCAGCACAATCGATTGATATGCATTATGTATTAATTCTTTTGAATTTAAGATTGAAATGGTAACTATATGTAAATTTCAAGCCGAAGGTTTACCGATATAACAATATTGCAACAAATCAAGATCGCACATGTATATTCAAAAGTCAAAACGTTCTAGTTTTAAAATTGCGTAAAACTCTCTTAAAGGACAACCCAGTTTGTAAACTAATTCCAACTTATCATTAACTTAGTTGTGGAAAATAGGCACATTTCGGGATTTTTTTCATTATGCTAAAGATTATTTGCAATAAGCTGAAAATAGTTGTATTGAAAGAGCTTTCAATTGTGTGTGAGCATGACTTTTCAATTCATTTTATCAATATGCAGCAAAGATAACAGCATTTCAAATTATCAATGAAACAAACTTCTAACGCATGTTTTTCTATAATAAAAAAAAAACAAGACAATATCTATTTGTATAAATATTTCTAAAAACATAAATAACAGATCGACTTTAAGAAATGAACAATTGTTGTTCGTAATAACTTTAAATCAGTGTGGTTACGGATGTAAACAAATATTTGATTTCGTTACCTTCATCAAAAATAGTATTTACTTTTCTATTGTTCCCGGGTCACCTGTTCACACAATGAGTAAATTTCCGTTTGCAAGCAAAGACATTATTTAGAGCAAACATATCATAAATGAACGTGTGTAGGATTAACACGAATCTAAACTGAGCTTGGTCATACAATTCATACATGAACAAGTCTGCTATAAAAAGGATGCAATTACTGTCCCTGAGTCTATATACAATATTTTAATTGACTACAATGTCTAAACGTAATGTATGAAATATTCCTTTCCCAAATTAAACAAAAAGCCATAAAATTAAAATAGTGCATACAAATACTGAATATATTCAGAATTAAAGAAAGTATGGTGACAGTTTTAATGTTCGAAACAAGCATTCGAGTGTCCAATAATGCTATAAATTTGAACTCGACCGTTCATCTAAAAAAACATTGATGCAATAGGTTTTGTATGGTAATTTTTCGTACTAGTTTTGTTTTTGGCTTTTGGTATTGTTTTTTCAGTTATTTTTTATTGTTATAATAGATTTATCAATCAATCGCGTGTGATAATGAGCTTTAATCGAAGAATATGATATATATTTGTTTATTCATTCCGTTTTTGTCGTTGTAGATGAAAACAAGCATGGTTATTATTTTCCTGATTTCACTTAAATCAACTTTACAGTATTCATCTAAATGTACATCAAACAATGAGTGCAGATGTATTCCACTTACAGATGGACTTTTAGCTGACTGTTCAAATTTAGGATTACTAAGGTCGCCTAAGTTTATGGAAAACGTAATATCTGTCAATCTAAGTTCTAACGTTTTAACGAGTTTACCAAGCGATGAAATCCTACCCGCAGGATTAAAATATCTAGATCTGTCATCTAATAAAATTTCGAATTTCAGTCAGGATGGGTTACCTCCATTTGTATCATTACGAGACCTGATCAGTCTTAATTTGTCGAATAATGAGTTTCCCTTAGACAGCTATACATACTTTCCAGGAGTTTTTAAGAATTTATTTGACTTGCAAATATTAGATATTTCTAATAATTCAAATGAGAATAGAAGCTACTTTTGCCCTGATGAAGTTTTTATTGATCTACGTTCACTGACAAATTTGAACATTGACGGTGTTAAAAACGTATCATTTGGGAGCAAATTTTCTGTTCTTCATAACTTGACTAGTTTAAAAGTAACAGGTCTTGCTGCTCGGGGTACAATACAAAAAGACATGTTCCAACACTTACCATTCATAAGATTTCTAGACCTTTCTTCTAGAACAGAATGGAGGAATATAGAAGATTTTGCTGTCTTAGTAATAGAGCAGGGAACATTCAAAAATCTTTCGCATCTAGAAGTTTTAGATATATCGTATAATCGTAGACTCGGATTGTGTGGATTTCGCAATGTTTCTTATGATCTTCCGTTTACATCTATTCAGATATTCAAGGCTCAATATCTTACATGCGAACGAGATGGAAGTTCTTGGTTGCTAACGAGTGATATTAAACCGTTAAATGAAACAAAGCTATTGGAACTATACATCGATGGAAATAATTTGGATAAAGCCGAGTTAACAGCTAAATTCTACTTACCCAGTTCCTTGAGAGTTTTAAGTGTAACGGACAACAGATGGGTTGTTGATGAATATGCCTACTATCATACGTTGCTAAATTTAAATAGTCTAACAACGTTTGACGCAAGTTTTCAAAACAAGCATCAAATGTCGCATTCACACAATTCTATTCGTTGCAACCATTGGCAATCGTTAAAACCGATGGAATGTCTTTGCTACAGATTGCAGGATAAGACGATTATTGACTCACAAGTCAAATCAATAACTCTTAAACAGGAGATAACGACAAAAAACATTAAACCAATCACGTCATGTAACAATATTTTTTCTGATTACACTATTGCAGCGATACCACCAAATGTAAAGACAGTTGTTCTTGAAAATGCAAGGATAGGGTATTCTATTGTTCCTATATTTTTTGCAAATAAATCGATAAGAAAATTAATCCTTCGAAATAATCAGTTATATTCATTCAATGGACCGATGTGCAACTTGACAAATCTGGAGTATTTAGATCTTTCAGGAAACCGCGCGTGTGAAATAACACCCTATGTTTTTGGAGCTCTACCAAAACTTAAAGTATTATTGCTTGATAACAATGCTCTCGGCAACTCGTATATATTTCAGAAATACGATTCAATCTCTATATTAGAAAACCAAACAAATTTAGTTTCATTAAATATGTCATCAAATAGACTTTCCGTTTTGTTTCGAGATTTCTTCAAGAAATCTACCAGCCTCAAATATGTGTACTTAGATCATAATTTATTTGTAGACTGGAACGTCTCGGTCGAACATATCAATGACCTTGAACTAATTGACCTTAGCTGGAATGAAATCTTATACTTGTCTCAATCTGGAATGGGTTTATTGGAAAAGTCGTTCTCTACCAATATAACAATTAATTTGTTGAACAATCCTTTGCAGTGTTCATGTGATTCTGCAGAATTTTGCCAATGGATAACAACATACAAGTCACATTTCATGTCTTTTGGCAAATACAGATGCAGTTATAAAGGAAGAAATTATCCTATAACGGACGTAAATAACATTTTAAAGAAAGATTGTTCATCCTACGTCGGACTAATAGTGCTATCCGTGGTTCTGATCGTAACCTTTATAGTTGTAATTTGTTCATTGTTGATTTACCGTTTTCGTTGGAAAATTCGTTATTGGTATTATGTTATGAAAGGAGCGTACGGATATCATCGTCTTGAAACCGAGGATCACTATCAATTTGACGCATTTGTATCATACGCGGACAGCGATCGACACTTCCCTAAAGATGAGATGGTGGACTACCTGGAGAAGCAAAGAAATTTCCGGTTATGTATTCATCACAGAGATTTTATAGCAGGATGTGGAATAGCAGAAAATATCACAAATGCTATTCACAACAGCAGAAAAGTTGTATGCGTACTCTCGGATGATTTTCTTCAATCCGAATGGTGCATGTATGAATTTAATATTGCTTTGATAGAAAGGACAGTCGCAAGGCACGATCAGAACATGATAATTATGCTCAGATTAGGTCGATTGCATGCAAAGAATATCCCCTCAGAAATAATGTACATATTAAAAGAGGATACTTATATAGAATATCCCGAGAACGAAGACGATAGAGGTATATTCTGGGATGATTTTGCTGACGCCTTAAATTCATAAACGATACAATATCAATGTCTTATAAATGAAGTTCATAGACATTAATAATAAAAGATCTGTTACCAAGGAATATTTTAGGACTAATTGGCTGAAAAGGTTTCGAGATCATATATTTGAAAATATAGGACATCGGACGGTGTATATGTGTTTGAATAACGTTCACCTAAAGAAGCGAAATTTGAAGTTGAAAATAAGAAAATAATCGGATATGTGCGTTTACAAGGAAAAATATCACTTCACAAAAAAAAATCATTTTGATTAAGACTATCGTTATACTGTCTCAATTTCACAACTCAATTGTGACATTTTAACTTTCGTCTACATCAATAAATGAGTTTTACACTTTTACAAATTGCTTATGTTCCTGGCTTTGGATTGCTGATCATTTAGACTGTCTAGTTCTCTCTATCTTCTCTAGTTTTTGCTCAAAACACAATATAGGGTAAAACAATCCTCGTTTATGGGCAATCACTCCTATAAAGAGTGACAGTCTACGAACTACAGTCAAACCTGCCTTAACGTTCACCTCGTTTCAGCGATCACCTGCATCTAACGGTCACTTTTAGACCCTCCCAAACGTTATATCTATATAATTTTACTCGTTTCAGCGGTCACCTGTCTAACGCGGTCAGCGGTTACCTAATTTTCACACGGAATCGTCTTTTTAACTTTTAACAACGGTCATTTTCATGTTTTAACAACCAAATATATAATCATGACGGAAAGTATATGTGTTTAGTAACGAGGTCAAAATGAGAATTGGAAACCGTTTGCAACCGAGATCGCGCAAAAAAAGATGAATTTGAGAATAATTTCTCGTCTTCCACTCCTTTAAGTTTCCATTGAAACTGTATTATCGACTTATTTCTCAACGAATATGAACTATTTCGAACGTTTTCTTCAAATTTAGAGCACTGCAATCCGCCATTTTTTTTTAATCAATGTCGAATTCTTTCAGCATTTAATCGATCTATCATAATTTTTAAGATATAAGGCAAAACGCAAAAAAAATGGTAAAAATTCGTCATCAAAGGTCAATAACTTTAATAAGGAGTTGACTAACGATTTCATCCACTAGAATGTAGAATTTGTATTGCTGATCATTTTTGCGATATAGAGTATCTCTCTATCTATTATAGTTTTCAAGATAATAGTAAAAATTAAAAATAAATAATGGTAAAACTTGTCATTTAAGAGCAATTATAACTCCTATAAGAAGTCGCATGACAGTTTTAACTTATATGGATAACTGGTAGATCTCAACATTCTGAACATTTCTGCCCATGTCAGATTTTCTCTATTTAAAACACTGGTAATGTTAAATTAAACTTCCAACTAAGTATGCTGGTAATTTGAATTTGTTGCTTGTTAATATTTAAAACTTCCAAGAATTTATAAAAGAATGTTTTTATAATAAATTTTGATAGAAAGGCCTTTGTTGGTCTTATTCTTTTAGGTTATTTAATTATGTTTTAAATATATACTGAAAAAGCGACTTTTTATGAATCGAAGAATTTGGAATCAACTCGTTAGTTAAGATGGATGGACGGCTGTTTAACGTCCAGTGGCAAATCAAATGCATATCCTGGACCATAACGTATTGACGCATTACTAGACCGACATGGTGAGCCAAATGTGTAACGTGCTATGTCACAAGGTTGACAAGAAGTCACCCAGCCGGGACACTTTATTTTTAGACTACGAGCAGACCAGTCTTTACTTCTTGCAGAGAAGCAACGATTACGAATTTCAAGGTATTTGAATTGACCCGGTCAGATTCAAATCCACGATCTTTCGCACTCCTGGCGAGCACGCTAACACTAGACCACCAAGGCGGTCCACTAGTGTAAATGTCGATTGTTAGAATTGTATTTAGTTATCTCGGACGAGTTAAAATAAAATAGCGCTGATAAATTATTTTTAAATAATTATACTCTTTGGATAATATAAATTATGAGAGCAATTAAACTGAAAGCGCCCACAAGCCTACATTTCTTGTAAAACATTGTTTGAAATTTTTATCAAAGGCTAATACCAAAAATGTCTCGGCAGCTGAGGTCGAAATTCAACGTTAATCAATGTTTTAACAGAAACGAAATATTGGCTTGTAAGCAACTAAAGACTACATTTTTGTCACAAAAAACCGAGGAAGATCTCAGGTGACATGCATTTCCGGACGCCAATATACAGATATCATTTAAATATGAAATCTTTTTTGTACAAGACTGAAATGTTGAACCGGTATTTAACATGCTAGTTCACAAAGGAACAGTCCAAATGAAAACATTTCACTCTACCCGGACACATTATTCTCATTCCGAGCCAATCTGTCTTCGCTCTTGTTTATGATTGCATCGAGTTCTACGGAGAAGCATCAAATACTAATATTATAAAGACAATGATGCGACTAGCATGGGGATCACACACGTGACCTCCTACAATCAAGGTAAGCACACTACCAGGAGAATTTAATAGGACTGTTTTCAAAGGTCAAGTGAGCAGGCAATGTAAACTGGTTTTCGGGGTAGAAATACAAGTAATGTTAAGGAATGAAGCGATCTTTTGCAAGTCATATTAAACTTAAATTCAATAACAATCAATATTAATGTTAAGTGCCATATACATCAGTACTAAACCCGACAATGTGGTAGAAATAGTAATGTGGTGCCGGTTGTATTGTTTAGTACTTAGGTACATGTACAAATGTATTTAGGAAAACAATCATCCGATGATACACCAATAACTCAAATTTTGGAATAAAAGAATGCATAAAAAAATACAATCCTGAAAACATAAACAGGGCCAGTATGTACTTTGAACATTGCAATTTTTATGAACATTGATAAATGAATAAATCAAATCAACAAGTTATTGTTATAAATAGCACGACGATCAATTATATATAACCTTGTTCTTGTTCAGATCTTAACGTTATCTTAGTACTACAAACGTGACAGACTTTCATGTATATTATGGTTATCGCTTCCGTGGTTTTAATTCCGGTAAGATGACGACATATGTATGCTGTTTAGCCTTGGTTGTTATAACTTTAGGTAAGGAACATGTAGGAATATAGAATTCCGGTAAGATGACGACTTATATCTGCTGTTTAGCCTTAGTTGTTATTACTTTAGGTGAGAAACAGGTAGGAATATAGAATTCCGGTAAGATGACGACTTATGTCTGCTGTTTAGCCTTAGTTGTTATTACTTTAGGTGAGAAACAGGTAGGAATATAGAATTCCGGTAAGATGACGACTTATGTCTGCTGTTTAGCCTTAGTTGTTATTACTTTAGGCGAGAAACAGGTAGGAATATAGAATTCCGGTAAGATGACGACTTAAGTCTGCTGTTTAGCCTTAGTTGTTATTACTTTAGGCGAGAAACAGGTAGGAATATAGAATTGCGGTAAGATGACGACTTATGTCTGCTGTTTAGCCTTAGTTGTTATTACTTTAGTCGAGAAACAGGTAGGAATATAAAACTCCGGTAAGATGACGACTTATGCCTGCAGTTTAGCCTTAGTTGTTATTACTTTAGGCGAGAAACAGGTAGGAATATAGAAATCCGGTGAGATGACGACATATGTCTGCTGTTCAGCCTTAGATGTTATTACGTTAGGTGAGAAACAGGTAGGAATATAGAATTGCGGTAAGATGACGACTTATGTCTGCTGTTTAGCCTTTGTTGTTATTACTTTAGGTGAGAAACCGGTAGGAATATAGAATTGCGGTAAGATGACGACTTATGTCTGCTGTTTAGTCTTAGTTGTTATTACTTTAGGTGAGAAACCGGTAGGAATATAGAATTCCGGTAAGATGACGACTTATGTATGCTGTTTAGCCTTAGTTGTTATTACTTTAGGTGAGAAACAGGTAGGAACATAGAATTCCGGTAAGATGACGACTTATGTCTGCTGTTTAGCCTTAGTTGTTATTACTTTCGGTGAGAAACAGGTAGGAATATAGAATTCCGGTAAGATGAAGACTTGTGCATGGTGTTTATCCTTAGTTGTTAGGAATATAGAATTCCAGTAAGATGATGACTCATGTTTACTGTTTAGCCTTAGTAGTTCTTACTCCTGGTGGGGAACACGAAGGAGTAGATTTTATCAACTCACAAGAGTGTCTTAGATCTTTAGCAACCAGACATGTCGTCTGATCTGTACATTTACCGATTGTATCCTATTCCATATTGCGACATTTTGACTGAGTATAGACATGTCAGGAATCTGATGTTCAGTAGTTGTCGTTTGTTGATGTGGTTCATAAGTGTTTCTCGTTTCTCGTTTTTTATATAGATTAGACCGTTGGTTTTCCTGTTTGAATGGTTTTACACTGGTAATTTTTTGGGGCCCTTTATAGCTTGCTGTTCGGTGTGAGCCAAGGCTCCGTGTTGAAGACCGTACTTTGACCTATAATGGTTTACTTTTATAAATTTTGACTTGGATGGAGAGTTGTCGCATTGGCACTCATACCACATCTTCTTATATCTATGTCAACCTATTAACATTTGTTAGCACCAATGATTACAAGTACTGTCAGGAAATAACGTGCGATTGCAATATCTTGTTCAAAGTGAAAATACATGAATATTGCCGAAAAATTGAGGGTCCATGGAATAAAAGCTTTAGGGGGTTTGTATTTGAATAAAAATTACATATTCGTTAAGTAAATTAATCGAATGAGGAATCGAATAACGAATGAATCATGTACTTGAAAATGGATCTATTACGATTTCGAGACAGACTCTAGGTCGGCAATTTCCATGTTTTCTATATGGACTGCGCTGCTATGTCGTTGTACATGTTTCCATAGTTATACACACTGCACAGTCAAAAATCGAAAGTGTCAAGTTGTTAATTATCGTGTTAACAATCTGATTAAGATCAGTTTAATACACATCATAGGGTAGTCCGAGCTTGTTCTAACGTCTGACGTCCTTTTTAGGACTCGCTGCGGCTGTGGGCGTCCTGACGAAATCGGGATGTTAAATTCCATGCCTCACTCAGAGTGAGTTCCATGCTTACTGCGTGTTAAAGAAACATTGCAAAAACTCTCTGATGTGATCGTATATAGCCTATTGTACAGCAAAATTAATATGCCTTCTCCATTACTGAAAAAATCAGCCTCCTGCAAACATTTGCTGCAAGTCTGTAGCGAACTTGCTGCAGACTTGCAGCGAACACAGAGTCTGTATTTGCTGCATGTTTGCTGCAAATACGCTGCAGGTCTGCCGCAAACAATTTACCATGTAAATGGGTGTTTGCTGCAGACCTGCTGCAAACATTTATATGCAAATGATTTTTTGCTGCAGACCTGCTGCAAACATTTTTATGCAAATTAATCTTTCTCCTGCGTGTTTGCTGCAGACCTGCGGCAATCATTTATATTCAAATTAATCTTTCTCCTGCGTGTTTGCTGCAAACTTGCAAGAACTATATATGTTATACAATCAACCAATGTCATGTTGTGTACACATTACATTATCTATATTACACAGCAATTCTGAAAAAGTTATGTTACATACATACATACATACTATAATTCAAATACTTTATCATTTGAAAAATTATCATAGCATAAGTTTATACTTTTTAAAAAATAATTTGAAGGTTTTTTTGTCGTTTAAGTACGTGCTGAAATGAATTGAATGCATGAATATCTAAAATTCAAAAAAGGGTCTATTTGAAATTTAGTTTGTGCATGTATACAGCTTTTTAATTTAAAATAGTCACAAGATTCAACTTGACTTATTACAAGAAAATATTTGATAAGTTATAATCTCCAAATATATTAGAGAGTACTGTATATTGCATGGTTACATACTTGAAAATGTTTTTCAAACCTTCATGCATGCAGATATTTGTGAAGGGGACGAATTTCATAAGTTTACACTTCTATGAATAATTTGTACTTACAAATAATGTCTTTGAAAACTAACCTTTTAATTTCCAAACAAAAATGCCTCCCTGAACACTAATATATATTAACATGACTCAAACACCATCAACATTTTCAAATTTCAAATCTTTATCTTCCAGGAAGTTACCAATAGGCATGCTCAGTCATTTTATGTAGTTCTTGCAATGCTCTTGCAAACATTAAGAATTGTCAAATATTTCTGCAATCTAGCTGCGAATATCCCTTATATTCTAGTTTTTCCTGCAATCTTACTGCAAACATATTTGTTTCTGCAAACTTGCCGCAAGCTTGCAGCAAAAAGCTGCAAAGTTTGCAGGAGGTTTGCAGCTAGCTGCAAACATCTGCAAACATTATTCAAAGGGTTCCTGCAAGCTTTTTGTTTGCAGCAGATCTGCTGCAAACATTTCAGTTCTGTAAGGGAGCTCTTTTTCAGAGACAGTCTTTGTCGACCTTCATGCCAATTGCCCTAGGTTGCAAAACTTTACTATCGTATTGATTGTTGATTTGTTCTCGTCCGGAATATGCATGAAATAATTGCCATAGGTTAAGCAAACATAAACCAATAAACCAATCAATCATGTTGTTGTCGCTAACCGTATATTTGTATTCAGCTTTGTTATAATCGCAGTATAGTTCTGCGTCTGAATTTGCCATTTTTATTGTTATTTTTTCTGTATATTGAAACAGGAGATGTAAGATATATACACCGATAAGACAGCAAACCAACGTAAAAAAAACCATACGACATCTAGAGGTCAGCATACAGTCTTCAATAATTAATAGGTGTCAATACAATAAATCAAGCTCTAAAAAGTACTTTTACAGAAGATATCAAAGAACTTTCATTAAATCCCAAATCTTCAAATACAAATATAACATACAACTCCTGACGAGATTCTTGATTATGTTCAGACACATTATAATGTTCCGGGGTAAACCTAGATCTTTCTTAAACTAAAACTCCACTTTTATCATAATCAGTAGAATAACAAAACGTACATTAAAGAAAATACAATAAATCACTACTGTAACAGGAAATACAATAAATCACTACTGTAACAGGAAATACAATAAATCACTACTGTAACAGGAAATACAATAAATCACTTCTGTAACAGGAAATACAATAAATCACTACTGTAACAGGAAATACAATAAATCACTACTGTAACAGGAAATACAATAAATCACTACTGTAACAGGAAAACCCATTAAATCACTACTGTAACAGGAAATACAATAAATCACTACTGTAACAGGAAAAACCATTCAATCTTATATTACGGTACAATAGGCAACAATTAACCCCAAAAACGTTAAAAAATGATACCTTATTAAAAATGTTTGCAGTCACTGAAACCAAACTCAAAGTACTTAACTGCTGTTAGGAAATTATGTCGTTCTACACTTAATATGTGTTGCTGTACTTCAATCATTACATGAAGACATGTGCAATGGCTAAATCAAATCTATACAGAAAAACAGAAGTTCATTGTATACATACATGACAACTAAAGCAAACGATTATGCTGGTTTTGTCCCAACATTATATAATAATGAAGAGAAGTGGTATGATTGATTGCCAATGAGACAACTATCCACCAGATTTAAACTGAAGTTGTGAGAAACAATAATAGGCCACCGTACGTATACTTGTAATAATAAAACTGTGAATGGAAACGGGGAATGTGTCAAAGAGACAACAACCCAACCAAAGAGCAGAAAACAGCCTAAAGCCACCATGGGGTCTTCAACACAACGAGAAAATCCCGCTCCCGGAGGCGGGCTTCAGTCTAAATCTCAATCTGTGTTTACTGCATTCTTACTGTATGCTGTATTTTGATTTCAGCATGTACATTGTGTCATGTTTTTTTATCTGATTGATGAGTCACTAAAAATATATAATGTAATAAGGAAGAAAATTTTCACAAATGTGGAACAATGATTCACGTGTATTTTTTTATCAGGAGTGACAGCAAATGGTCCTCGTCCGGCAAGGCAAAATGCCAGGAAAAATTCCAATCGAGGCTCTAGAATAATTGGTGGATCGACATCGCAGGCACATCAGTGGCCTTTTATTGCCTCCATTCAGTACCATGACGGTTATCATTTCTGTGGTGGTGTACTTATAGGTCAAAAATGGGTTCTGACTGCTGCCCATTGTACAGAGGGATTAAAGTAAACAATTTATTTAGTTCATGGTTAGAAATATGTGCATCTTAAACAGTTGAAATGTTTTCCGTGTGATCAATACGTGTTTCTATAATAACTTTCTTCAGGTACGCTCGTCATCAAAGTTCGGAAAAACCAAAAGGGTAAAAAAAGCAATCAAATCGTCTTAGGTCAATTTTGCCCCAGATAGTAGCAATCAACATTGAAGCACAATAACAAGAAATTTACAAATAAAATGCATCATTTACTTAAACACAAATGTATGTTGGTTGTGCAGCAAAACATATGTGTCGTGTGTATACATGTACTTAGTACTACATTGATTATAACGAAATGAATATGTACATCGTAGCATTTCATAACCAAAACTTATATTTTAGTCTTAGATACATTTTTTTTATTAGTTGTTATTGGCTTTGAACTAGCTGTCAGTAACTGCGAGTACTCTCAGATCTGTACTTAGTGTCCTTTTTGATGTTAGGGATGAGGGATGGATAAATACCCTGCCACGTCCGGTCTGTGTTTATGTTGAAGTTTTTCTGCTTTGTATCGATCTGATGAGTTAAGCCTTTTTCTACTGATTTTTATATTTTGTTCTTATATTGTGCTGTTACACCACTGTCCCAGGTTAGGGGAGGGTTGAGCGCTCATTAACATGTTTAACCCCGCCACATTCTTTATGTGCCTGTCTCAAGTCAGGAGTCAGTAGTTCAGTGGTTGTCGTTGGTTCACGTCTGTCATATTTGTTTTTCGTTAATTGTTTTGTTATAAATTAGGCCGTTGGTTTTCTCAATTGAATTGTTTCATATTTTTCATGTCGGGGCCTTTTATAGCCGACTATACGGTATGGGTTTTTCTCATTGTGGAAGGCCGTACGGTTGCCTATAACTGCTCACATTCACTTGATTGAACTTTGGTGTATAGTTGTCTCATTGGTAACCATACCTCATCTCCTCATTTTTATATTGTATATTTGTAAAAATTTTACACCACCGTTTCTTTCGAAAAGGTCAGAAAATATAAATTTAAAATGTCTACCCGGAGATCATTCATTTGATATATCATGCCTCGTTCGCTTTCTTCTTTGTTTTTAATTTTAAAACACTTGACAATCCTGTGCAATATCCTTAAATATGAAATCTGAAACGAACTCCTCGGGAACTTGTTTAAACTTGACCTCGCCCATAAACCATTGCTTTGGACTATGCAACGTACTCTTTTAACTCTTCATTTGATAATTATATTATTACAAGACAAACCTTTAAGGAAATAAATTAAAAAAGAAAAAAAAATATTTGAATATAAGAACTACATTCTTTTTTTTTATAGAACTTGCCCTTAGGGTCATTTTCAAAAACCTCCACACTTCGTTTGTAAATGAAAGGTGAGGATGCAATCACTGCATATAATATATTCAGGTAAAAGATCCTGTCGAAACTAGAAGGTCTGCTTTATATCCTGATCTTTTCCTCGATATTAACACAGATGGACGACTTCAAACTGAATCTATGACAAACATGATGATTTTGACTTTCCAATTGTCAACTTCCCATTTCTCAGCAGTATCATACCCTCTTCCAAATTGTATGAGGTTACTACATCTCAATTAGTACGTAACGCTCGTGCAGGTGCACACTATACGGACTAAACAGCTGTGCTCCTTACACAAAAACTGGTCCTACTGATTAATATTAAAGGAAGAACGACTGAAATCGATACTACAAAGTTTTACGTTCACCATCATGAAAAATTAAATGACCATTACGATATGCATGAGTCTGAACTCACTAGAGAAATTTGCGCGGTTTTAGATCTTTAGATACCATCATAGTCGTATAAACTGTCCTCTCCATTTAATCTTTAAAACATTTTCTGGCAAAATATTGTAAAATTTGAATGAATAATTACAGTATTCAAGCATTTATTGATTATCCAAACATCTGTTTTTTCAAAGATATATGTAGCAATTACAGATGAATTTTGAAGCAAACTGCTTATGTCGACGTTAAAGGGTCATGTTGATCATTAGTGGGGTGTGCGCTTTTCATCATTTATTTAACTTTATTAACAATTTACTGTTAGTTTCTAGTTCAAACGTTGTAAAACACGTAATTACCAAATTTCTTCGTAACAATGATTTCAGATCTGGTGATTTCCGTGTGGTACTGGGAGAACATATAATTGGTGTAAATGATAACACAGAGCAGACCATTAATGTTTCAGTCATACATAATGTTAGTACACAGAATATATCAAATAACGTTTTAGTAATAATTACTTTCGGAACACAGAACAAATCATCAATGTATCAGTAATTCATAATGTCAGTACAGCCAATAGATCAAATGCGTAGTAATTACAGAGGAGAGATCATATACATAGAAAGTACAGACAATATATCAAATGCGTAGTAATTACAGAGGAGAGATCATATACATAGAAAGTACAGACAATATATCATATGCATAGTATGTACAGACAATATATCATATGCGTAGTAATTACAGAGGAGAGATCATATACATAGAAAGTACAGACAATATATCACATGCTTAGTATGTACAGACAATATATCATATACATAGAAAGTACAGACAATATATCATAAGCGTAGTAAGTACAGACAATAGATCATATGCGTAGTAAGTACAGACAATAGATCATATGCGTAGTAAGTACAGACAATAGATCATATGCGTAGTATGTACAGATATAAGATCACATGCTTAGTGAGTACAGGCAATATATCACATGCATAGTAAGGACAGAGAATATTCATATGCGTAGCAAGTACAGCGAATAGATCATATGCGTAGTATGTACAAAGAATATATCATATGCGTAGTAAGATTAGAGAATATGTCATATGCGTAGAATGTACAGAGAATAGATCATATGCATGGTAAGTACAAAGAATATATCATATGCGTAGTAAGATTAGAGAATATGTCATATGCGTAGAATGTACAGAGAATAGATCATATGCGTAGTAGGTATAGAGGAGAGATCATATGCGTAGTAAGTACAGAGAATATATCATATGCGTAGTGAGTACAGGCAATAGATCATATGTGTGCGTAGTAAGTACACAGAATAGATCATATGCGTAGTATGTGTAGAGAATACATCATATGCGTAGTATGTACAGGGGAAAAGATTAAATGCGTTGTAAGTACTGACAATAGATAATATGCGTAGTATATACTGAAGAGAGATCATATGCATAGTAAGCACAGAGGAGAAATCATATGCGTAGTATGTTACATATTATATATAGTATGCGTAGTAGGCACAGTGAATATATCATATGCATAGCATGTACAAAGAAGATCAAAGAGTATTAACAGTTACTGCAAAGACAATAGCAACTAATAAGAAATTCATGTATCTAAAACAAATATAAAACAGTTTAAATCCAATGGATTTAGTACAAAAAAACGTCTGAAATCGTCTGATAAAACAAGACATTGTACAATGCAAAACATAGACTGACTGTAGAACTGTCTTTGTCAAGGGGTAACAAAACAAACGTGTTTTGAATAATTCAAAATTTTATTCTAAAAACAAAATCCGAAAAGTGAATCAGTAATATATATATGTAGGACTCTGAACCGCGATGGTACTCCAAATTGCGATGGTCATGCTGAAGTGCGACGGTGGCATTTTGACGTCATCTTGTTGATTGCCACGCAAAAGTGAGTTGGTGGCAACGCTAAAGTCTGGAGATGGATTACAAAAACTATATTTTCAATGTTTTTCATGTTCTTATGTCGACGTAAAAGCCGATTTGTTTGTTAGGATATTCACCTAGAGTATCATAATAAATAGTCATTACATTTCTTATCATAACTGATATGTTTTTGTTACTTTGTAAATAGGCTAGGACAAAAAAAATCCAATGTACATAAAAGCGTTTAGAAACTGACAACTACAGACGCTACATGCAAAAGTTAATGTCCATTGAAAACCAGCACTAATCTTAAACGATGAAAAACGAAGAAGCTATTAAATATCAAATACTACTTGCTAAGTCACAACGATACATGATAAACAACAAATGCATCCGGTTGATGTAAATGGGAGCACGGAAATAGATAGATCATCGTAATGTTTTACTGCAACTGGAGGAAATATGAAATTCTTGGTCAGGACACGAGATCTATCCTTTATAGTCGCTCTGGCATGGTCCTATTTCGGATTTACATCTCAAAAACTACGTTCATTGTATAAGTTAAAACGGCAGACCATCACACGTCAGCGTCCCCATCGAACTTCAAAGTCCTACATATATACAATCAGTATATATGTACACAGACCAGATGATTAAAGTAACAACTAGACATCATTGAGATGGTAGCCATCTCTGTGGGCCCCGCTGTGAAAAACATGTGGTAAAAAAATTGTATCTTTACCATAGGACATGGGGTTTTCATCTGAAACCAAAGTTTTTGACTTTGACCTTTGTCCTAGGAAGTTGTACATACATTATGACACACCCTTTGGTGTTGGTTAATACACATGTCAAGCATAAACTTTGAAATCATAACGGTTCTCAAGATATAGAGCGGACACGATCTTTATCATAGGACACGGGGTTGTCAACTGAAACCAAAATTTTTGACCTTGAACTTTGACCTAGGAAGTTGTACAAACATTATGACACACCCTCTGGTGTTGGTTAATATACATGTCAAGTATAAAGTATGAAATCATAACGGTTCTCTAGATATAGAGCGGACATAATTTATTACGGACGGACGGACAGACGGACGGACAGACAAACTGATCACTATAGGGCGACCCGCCATTCGGCGGGGTCCTAATTATGCATAAGTATGCATGTTCGCGCTAAATATCTTATATGAAAACTTTAAATAAATTTATAAAGATAGTATTTCTACAGAATCCGTTCTACAACCTACAAGCACCTGAGCATCTTTTCTACCTACCTTACGACCTATCAGTAATAGAGCTAGCACAGCCGGCAGTACTGAATGGATATGTGCGGACGATTAATCTGCCAAACTCGTGTGTAGGGTTTGATGGACAGATATGTAAGATCATCGGATGGGGAAGAACTACAAGTAAGACTATTAACTTATGTTTCATTTTTCATTGATTCATAATCTAATGCTTTGCATGTTTTTCAGTGATGGCAACACAGGATGATTATTCTGTTTAAATTTCTTAGGAATGTATTGTATTCTCAATGTTACAGGCAAACAAAAATTTGGAAACAATTCTATATTATGATATTTAGCGTAATATATTCCTGCTGACGCCAATTATGAAAGAACACTTCAAATTGACAAGTTTCTGGAAAATCTAAATGAAGGAACATTTGTAGCATAAATAAATAATTTGCATCTGAAAACAGTGAATATCTCAACTTCTATAGGAATTTAGGTTATCAAGAAGAACTCTCTTTGTGCTGATCATTCCGAAATGTTATCATAATATTAGTCTATATTTGCCGTTTTTAATAATTCTCCAACATTTATAATTTGGTCACATGTTTAGAAATACTCTACACTGTTGTTAGAATCCCAAAGCAAAATATGAATCTTTGATACTGTGAAGTGTTAAAAAGAAATAGAATATTAAAAATTAACATAGCGTCAGATGAATTCAAGGAAAATAAAATAGAGGCGAAGGATACCAAAGGGACATTCAAACTCCTAAGTCGAAAATAAACTGACAGCGCCATGGGTGAAAAAGGAAAGAAAAAAAAACAACAGGCAAACAACCTGATGTCACCAAAAGTCACGTTGCATCTCTATTAGAAATTTTTCATTGCATTTTAAACGACCATCTGGCTTAGATGCGCGTGTCTTATGTTTCAGCTGATTAAAAAAAAAAAAATAAAAAATAAGAAATTGATAAATTCAATAAACAATAGAAAAACAGGAAAAAAAACATAAAATAAAAAAGTAAGTTCTGCCTGCGATCACAGGTCTATTCATAAGTTTGGTTTTGAATAGCTTTCTATGTATTAGTAACTATGTGTATTCTTGTGTCCTTTTGTTTTGTGTTTTTCACCAACCTAACGAGTCAATATGTTTTCCCATTGTTTTCCACTATATTTTTGTTTATTGTTGTACTGTTACATCTCCTCCCCATGCTGAGGTAGGCTTGGGCTCTCAAAATATGTTTAGCCCCGCAAAATTCTGTATGTGCCTGTCAAAAGCCTGGAGCCTGTAGCACAAAGGTTTCCGTTATTTTGTATTTATCATACATTCAGCTGTTTTTGGTTTAATTTAAAATAAGCTTAAATCAAAACTTTGGTTTCACTTTTGAATAATTTCACATTTGTTATCCTGTTCTAATTTAAATAGCGAAGTAGCTTAAATTGTACGCTATAATTGCTTTGCTAACTGTTGAAGGCTGTATGTATGTATGTATGTACGTATGTATGTTCTGTATCTTCCTCCTTTAGTAGGAGCACCTCCATTGGTTACAGCTGTACTGTAACCTGTGTGTAATTGTTCACATCTTTGTCCTTTGGTCAATTGTTGATTAGTTAAGACAACTGTACACATGTGTGTGTACTTTTAAAATGTTTGCCTATATTCTTGTATTAACATTAATTTAAGTTTTCAAGAATAACTTGCTTATGATTTGATAACATATTAATTTATCAGGAGCAAGACAGACTGTCACGTTACAGGAAGGAGATGTTAATGTCATACCAATAGATGTCTGTAGAAACACGTGGGGTACTTATGTATATTATGGAAGTCTCTGTGTGTTTTCATGGGGAACAACTGCATGTCAAGTAAGTATTTTGATAATTCAGAAGAAGTGCATGTATTTTCTGATCTTGGTCTAAAAATTACGTATGAAACATTTCCCTCTTCCTTGTAAATTGTATTTACTTTTAAATCATATATTGTGTTATCACCCGTACAGCAGCTTTTGTTGTCATGGTATAGATGTTCTTCCTTTTGATTGTAAACGTTACTATGCTAAATTGGACTTGATAAAAATTCTATAAATCATTTCCTTTTCTTTAAAACAATATCGAATTAACGCCAATGGAAAAGTATACACCTATTGACTGGTTATGAGGGTAATAGCAAGTTTGTTGTCCCTGAGATACCAACTATTGCTCGAGGCGAAGCCGAGGGCAATAGTTAGTTTCAAAGGGACAACAAACTTGCTATTACCCTCATAACCAGTCATTAAGTGTTATTTTATTCATTGTAATGAACTACAAAAATAAGACATCTTGCTGAAACAACTGATGTGTTGAATTGTCTGACATCCCTCGTTTCATATTTGCCAACAGCACTGCACGCCAGAATTATGATAATACATCTTTTACAAAATCTACATTTGTATGTCATCTATTGGTATTTTTTTATTTTTTTTATTTTCTGGAAATAATTAGTCTATCCTGTCCTGTTTTTTTCGTGTTATTGAACTTGAATTCTCCTTGACAACCAATGACAATATACTTGTATGTATTGTACAGGCATATTCACTAAATTCAAATTAAATGATAATGATTATATTAGTTATATGACTTTCGGTTAAGGAACGTTAAGGGCTATTCGCCCCTGTGTTTCAAAATTACAAGCTTTAAAAATAAAACTGAGAACGGAAATGGGGAATGTGTCAAAGAGACAACAACCCGACCAAAGAGCAGTCCAAGGCCACCAACGGATCTTCAACACAGCGAGAAAATCCCGCATTCGGAGGCGGGCTTCAGCTGGCCCCTAAACAAAAATTTGTACTAGTTCAGTGAAAATGGACGTCACACTAAACTCCGAAACATATAGCCATGGTAGAATAAACAAACACACAGCAATACGCACTGTAAAACTCAGTTTAAAAGAAGTCTGAGTCCGATGTCATAATAGGTAACAGAAGATTCTAAGCAAAATGACAATGATACATAAATTAATTAATTTATAGACTGTTATAAATTATAAGTATATAAATAAAGGAAATTAAAATGCTAAAAAATTAAAGGTCCGCGTCCATGGTTTTGAGATATAAGGCATTGCAAATTTGGCGGGGAACGATTCTCTCTAGATTTTTCATACAGCTAACATTGATACTCTTTTTCCTTCAAAAACTATGAAAAAATATCAAGGATTTTATATGATTTTCAAAAACGGATTTCTGAACTAATAATGAAAAAAATTGGTGTTAGCGGGCACAATTTTTGATGGCAAAACATATGGATAAAACCAAAGTATTCCGAATATCTGACAAAAAGTAAAAATACAAGACTAGCAAACATCCTTAAGAAAATCATGATAATTCTAACTACATCGGGTCGTACATACAATGCTTAAAACAAATCTAACTGTTTAGTTTGCAGTCAATATTTTTACCGAAGTAGAAATCTACCTGTACGGAAATAATTATCTGGTTTTGTTTTGTGCAAATTACAACTAACAAATTAAGTTAAAGTATTCACGACGTAATTTAAAACCAATATATACAGAATTTTATTTGATGCATCATCAAACAAGCACACCAAAAGAGACGATCAACAATAACAGGTAACAAACGGACAGAATGTTTTAAAAGGAAGTTCCTTATCAAAAGATATCATTTAATAATAATTTATGAACTTTTTGCTGAATAGTCATATTTTTTTTCATTTTTATAATATGGCTTTTACTGGGATAAAGCAAACAGTACGGCGAGCTTGCAATAATTATGTAATATACAAACAAAGTTTCTGCACTATAAAATTAGGAGAAATGTGAATATTTCCAGTAAGACAACAGTTACTATGCACCAGAGACCAAATGACGTAGATATAAACAGCTATTCGTCACCGTACGACCTTCAACAATGCGAAAACCCCATACCGCATAATCAGCAATAACAGGCCCGGCATGACAAAATGTAAAACAATTCGAACGAAAAAACGAATAGTCCGACCCACTCACAATACAACAAACTTAAAACACGAATAGTCCGACCCACTCACAATACAACAAACTTAAAAACACAAATAATTTACAACAAACTTAGAACACAAATGATTTACAACAAACTTAAAACACAAATGATTTACTACAAACTTAGAACACAAATGATTTACAACAAACTTAAAACACAAATGATTTACAACAAACTTAAAACACAAATGATTTACAACAAACTACAAACACAAATGATTTACAACAAACTTAAAACACAAATGATTTACAACAAACTTAAAACACAAATGATTTACAACAAACTTAAAACACAAATGATTTACAACAAACTTAAAACACAAATGATTTACAACAAACTTAAAACACAAATGATTTACAACAAACTTAAAACACAAATGATTTACAACAAACTTAAAACACAAATGATTTACAACAAACTTAAAACACAAATGATTTACAACAAACTTAAAACACAAATGATTTACAACAAACTTAAAACACAAATGATTTACAACAAACTACAAACACAAATGATTTACAACAAACTTAAAACACAAATGATTTACAACAAACTTAAAACACAAATGATTTACAACAAACTTAAAACACAAATGATTTACAACAAACTTAAAACAAAAATGATTTACAACAAACTTAAAACACAAATGATTTACAACAAACTTAAAACACAAATGATTTACAACAAACTTAAAACACAAATGATTTACAACAAACTTAAAACACAAATGATTTACAACAAACTTAAAACACAAATGATTTACAACAAACTTAAAACACAAATGATTTACAACAAACTTAAAACACAAATGATTTACAACAAACTTAAAACACAAATGATTTACAACAAACTTAAAACACAAATGATTTACTACAAACTTAAAACAAAAATGATTTACAACAAACTACAAACACAAATGATTTACAACAAACTTAAAACAAAAATGATTTACAACAAACTTAAAACACAAATGATTTACAACAAACTTAAAACACAAATGATTTACAACAAACTTAAAACACAAATGATTTACAACAAACTACAAACACAAATGATTTACAACAAACTTAAAACACAAATGATTTACAACAAACTTAAAACACAAATGATTTACAACAAACTTAAAACACAAATGATTTACAACAAACTTAAAACACAAATGATTTACAACAAACTACAAACACAAATGATTTACAACAAACTTAAAACACAAATGATTTACAACAAACTTAAAACACAAATGATTTACAACAAACTTAAAACACAAATGATTTACAACAAACTTAAAACACAAATGATTTACAACAAACTACAAACACAAATGATTTACAACGAACTTAAAACACAAATGATTTACAACAAACTTAAAACACAAATGATTTACTACAAACTTAAAACAAAAATGATTTACAACAAACTACAAACACAAATGATTTACAACAAACTTAAAACACAAATGATTTACAACAAACTTAAAACACAAATGATTTACAACAAACTACAAACACAAATGATTTACAACAAACTTAAAACACAAATGATTTACAACGAACTTAAAACACAAATGATTTACAACAAACTTAAAACACAAATGATTTACTACAAACTTAAAACACAAATGATTTACAACAAACTTAAAACACAAATGATTTACAACAAACTTAAAACACAAATGATTTACAACAAACTTAAAACACAAATGATTTACAACAAACTTAAAACACAAATGATTTACAACAAACTTAAAACACAAATGATTTACAACAAACTACAAACACAAATGATTTACAACAAACTTAAAACACAAATGATTTACAACAAACTTAAAACACAAATGATTTACTACAAACTTAAAAAACTTAAAACACAAATGATATACAACAAACTACAAACACAAATGATTTACAACAAACTACAAACACAAATGATTTACAACAAACTTAAAACAAAAATGATTTACAACAAACTTAAAACACAAATGATTTACAACAAACTTAAAACACAAATGATTTACTACAAACTTAAAAAACTTAAAACACAAATGATATACAACAAACTACAAACACAAATGATTTACAACAAACTACAAACACAAATGATTTACAACAAACTTAAAACAAAAATGATTTACAACAAACTTAAAACACAAATGATTTACTACAAACTTAAAACACAAATGATTTACAACAAACTACAAACACAAATGATTTACAACAAACTACAAACACAAATGATTTACAACAAACTACAAACACAAATGATTTACAACAAACTTAAAACACAAATGATTTACAACAAACTTAAAAAACTTAAAACACAAATGATATACAACAAACTACAAACACAAATGATTTACAACAAACTACAAACACAAATGATTTACAACAAACTTAAAACACAAATGATTTACTACAAACTTAAAACACAAATGATTTACAACAAACTACAAACACAAATGATTTACAACAAACTTAAAACACAAATGATTTACAACGAACTTAAAACACAAATGATTTACAACAAACTTAAAACACAAATGATTTACTACAAACTTAAAAAACTTAAAACACAAATGATATACAACAAACTACAAACACAAATGATTTACAACAAACTACAAACACAAATGATTTACAACAAACTTAAAACACAAATGATTTACAACAAACTTAAAACACAAATGATTTACAACAAACTTAAAACACAAATGATTTACAACAAACTACAAACACAAATGATTTACAACAAACTTAAAACACAAATGATTTACAACAAACTACAAACACAAATGATTTACAACAAACTTAAAACACAAATGATTTACAACAAACTTAAAACACAAATGATTTACAA